AGCATACAACATAGATTTTTTCTTGATAAAGTTAAATTTAAAGAATTATAGGAGCTTATGCTATTGATCGCAAACTTTTTTTGATGTGTGTATATCGATATAATATCATATTTTTCATTAACTCCCTAACTAGAGTAAAATTGAAGATTTATTTAAAATATATATTAGAAGCACTTAAAATGTTATATTTAGGACATGTACTTTTAAATAAGGTAAACAAGGTATTTGAAATGGCGTGTCCAAGTTGATCATCATTACATTAGTAATAATTAGGTATATTCGCACTTACGTATTACGTATACTTACGTAATATTTATCGGCAATATGAATAGAAAATTCGAGAACCCTTGTCTACTAGCTCACGAAGTCATGACGCCTCATTATATTGATATAATAAATCTGTATATTTTATACATACATATATTACTCTGCAGCAGTCTTACTTCGTGTCTATTTTATTATTAATTCGTGTTTTATAAGAGTAGTTTGTTTAAGAGAAGTTGCAACACTCAGACAAACCTATGTAGGTTTAAGAGTGTGAAGACTAAATGTTTTTTGTCTTTGAAAATAAAAATTAAATCAATCAAAATCAGTAAATAAATGAAGAAAACAATAACTGAATGAGTCTCAGATATATGTTTTTTTACTTAGTTACTTCGTTTCATCTGTCGGAAAATGATGATACACAGCTGTACACAGCACAATTCACGATCATTATAAGTATTAGCGTAAAATGATGTTTTATATTAACGTACAAGTTTCGTAATGAATAAATGAAAACTATATTCAAATATCAAATCCGTCTTCGCGCGAAAACGGCTCGTCGGCAGCCTTGTTGTCGTTCAGTCAATGTGATGGGCAATGTGCGGGACGTGGTGCGTTATCTAAAGCCAGAGAGGGGCGGAAAGTGTTCTCTTTACTTTTTATTCTCTGCTATTTCTGCCACCAAGCAGTAATGTCAGCATTACAATGTTCCGGTTTTGAACAAAAAGAAGAATCATCAAAATCGGTTCACAAATAAGTTAACGCGTAACTTACATAAAAAACATACAATCGAATTGAGAGCTTCCTCTTTTTTTGAAGTCGGTTAAAAAAGACCATGCTGCTTTTGCCACTAGATAACTTTAAATCAAAAGAAATATTTGTTTTTAGTTTTAACGCCTTTTTAACTAGTGGAGTACTTTCACAAAAAATATACATATCGCGCTATTTAAAACAATATTGTACTCAAAAAGTGTATTTTCTCAGAATCGACTAAAAACGAATTACTCGCTTCCCGTGAAAGATCTGGGTAAATTTATGTATAAGTTACTTCCTACTTGCCGACTATACATATTTAAAAATAAAAGAAAAAAAATACTTTCATATTTTTTAATAAGGACTGTTTTGGCCAGAACTAGCACACATATTTATTTATTTATATATTTGCAAACAATGTAGGTACAAAGATTAATAAGTACATACATACCCCTTGGGGGTGCAGCAATTAATTATTATTAACCATAAAAAAAATTAGAAACAAATACATATCTTCATCTGCATCTTATAATTAACATTTATAGACTTTAGATAAAATTACATATCAGAAACTGGACTATTGGGCTTATAGGTGAGTTTATGAAGTCTCCTACACTGTGGTAACATCCATTTAACAAGAGAGATCTCAGTTTTATCAAATTTTACGTTCAACAAAGGTGTAATCTTGAAATCAACATATTTTGTAATAGCAGTGCGATATATCTAAATATTGCTATCAATAAAGCGACATCTCTTGTATGGCGCTGGTAGCTGTAAATGTACATACCTTTCTTTTGTGGCTGAATGAAGAGAAAACTTTTATAGTTTTCTCATAGGTGGCGCTTCGGAAAAAAATTAAAACCAAAAACAAAATTCTACGACATGTACATAGAGGAATTTGTAAGGTTAGCCGACTCATTCCGTAGAGCTCAGTTAGGAGAGCGATAGTCCGCGAAGGGAAAATGTCTCTGATTCCACTCCCCATGGTGGTAAAAAAATAGGGCAGACATTTTTGTTACACCCTGTATAAATACGGAAGAACAATAAACTTCACAGATGTTGAATAAATTTGAATAAGCTAATCGATTATGTAATAATTTTAACTTTGTACTAAAATTTATTTTGTAACCTTTAAGAGTTATAATAGACGACCTTGGTGAAGTTGGTTAAAACCATAAATTACATCCAAACTCACGAGAGAAATATGTAGGCCATACAAATATTTCTCCCGGCCCAGGAGTCGAATCCGGGACCTCTGCGAGGCAGTCCGGCATGGTAACCGTTCGGCCACGGAAGCGTTACTTGTTAAAACTTGGAATTTGTTTTGTGATACAATAAAGTGTTTATGCGAGTATGTATACAATACACACCTAGTCTATTTAAGTGGACTTATTCTTTAAAAATGTAATACTAAATTCTTTTCTTGCGTTTTTTGAAAAAAACACCTATGTCATCATCATCATCAACCCATTTATACGTCCCACTGCTGGGCATGGGTCCCTCAGGGGAGGGTTAACCCAGAGAGGAGCTAGGTAAAACCATTCTGCCGTCTGCTAACTAAAGTGTGGCTATGTGACAAAATCATGTTTAGAGATATCGTAAAAAAATTAGAACCCTGTTTTAGAAAACTGACATTGTTTAATGATTCTTTAGCAGTGCACTATTAGGGTAAATTCCGATATGTCGACCACGTTATCTAACTTTAACTATTTTAAAATACAGAATTTTGATTTAATTTAATATGGATATTTAATTTTAATTCTAATTTCTTACTGAGCTGCGTTTTAGTCCGTGCACGGCAGCATTAGGGCTGCCACGAGTACAAATCGGCTCATAAATAATATTAAGTATTAGTATAACGCCCCCGTAGGGATATTCTGAGATTATTTATTCTATCCATTACACTCTCAATAAGACTTCCATCGTCCTTGAATAAGTAACTATGAAAATGCATATAGACTTTTTAGGTTTTAAAAATTGAAAAGTTCTTTGGAAAATTAAAATAAGGTAATTAATTAATAAATAAGTTTTTATTATACAAATATGTACCGTGTGTAATTTGAAGATAGGGCCAAAGCGCACATTAGAAAAAAAATCAGGGGCGCATGTTTTAGGTTTTAAGGGATGTTTTAAAATTTCGTCCTATTTTTGGTCTTAATTAAGTTTAAGTTTTAAAATTGAATTTAAAACAGGACGTAAAATAATTTAAAACAGTCGTAAAAAATTAAGACATGAAAACATTTATCGAATTGACGCTTTCGTCCTTCCTATGATACACTGACTGTACGTAGCTATACAACATGGTTATTTATTCTACCCTCGGAACGAAATAGGGCACAACTACTGTGTAAAGTACGCATAATTGTCTCTTTTTCTGCTTTCAGCGATAAGGCCGCCTTTGCCCACATTAATTCTAAGCAGTCTGTGTATCGTTTTTATTTATGTGCGTGGGCAATAAAGTGTATAATATCTATCTAATAACTTTTGTAAGTATAAAAAATAGGGTGGTGTGCATAATATTAAAATTAGACATAACTGGTTGATGACTTCATCATCTCAGTCAACTGTGACCATGGGACCTATAAAGAGCCCGCAACGTAGGTCTGTTTGAAAAAACAAATATACGCAATTTAAATCCAAAAAAGTAGGTAGTTTCATTTTCCCAATAAAATACTAGTTTTAATAATTAATTTAATACTGACTACCAAGTTTCCAATTAGAAAACTCGTTGTAGTATGAGTACCAGAATAATTAAATCCCAGACACTTCCCGGAACATTTAGACTAAAATTTAGGAAAGCGTGTGTATTGCCTCCGTGGCCTAGCGGCTACCATGCCGGACTGCCAACGCAGAGGTCCCAGGTTCGATTCCCGGGCCGGGAGAAATATTTGTATGGCCTACATTATTTCTCTCGTGAGTTTGGACGTAATTTGTGGTTGTCTATGGACACACATCCATGACACCCGCGCCACAGGGTTTCCCTAGTGCGGGGTTATGTTGAGTGTGTGCGTTATTATTATTATAATCGCTTTTTTATTTAAAAAAACTAAATCGCACATGAACCAAATTCTGTCGTAACTCAAAATGATTGTATTGGGAAAACCCGATTTGAAAATTTAATTTTGAAATTTTGAATAACGTTTTATTTACACACAATAATAGTGAAATTACAGGCACTTCGGACTTGTCAACGTAAGTCAGGGTGACAGGCGCAGTGGCAGTGCCCCTAATATCTTTGCGATTTTTTGCAATGCAACTGTTTTGGATAGGCATGTCCCTTACCACCAGGCGCACGACTTGTTCATTCCATCGCTTGGTATTTAAAAAAATAATTTATATACTTATAAACGAGAATATAAATTTATTGGTTCTATTCAGTAATTTTTTGAACTATTAATTATTAATAATCATCATTTTTGAGTTACGACAGTATTTGGTTTCATGTTGGACATTAATCTAAACATGGCGGTGAAACAAAAACAATTTCTCAATTTTTGCTCTATTGGGAACCGAACACGTCAAAGCAGTGCTTGAAGTGTTGTTATTCGTGAATATTTTAGCTTTTCCTTATGATTACAAAAAGTGTATGTTAATTTTTAATGTGATCTTAATGATTACAAGTCTTGGCAGAATGCAATTACATCGTAGTCAATTAGTTTGTTTTATTAGAAATTTGGATTTCCTTCTTTTTATTGCATAATGTTTGTTATTAATATTCTGGTTAATTTTTAAAATGTCAATTTTATTTTTTTAACCGCCTTAAAAATAAACAAAACGCAGCGACATTCCCGAAAACGGATAAGCAAACTTTTAAGGTAGGGATTTTTTTTAATAAAAAAGTTATAATCATTTTAAATTACGTTTTCAAAGTTTTCGAGATAAAAACTCACCAAAAGTTTTTAAATTACTTACATCACTGAGTATTTTATTGTAATTAACATAGTTTATCATAACAAATATCATAAAAAATAAACAAAACAAACCTTTATAAAATGCACTAGAGAAATCCGATGCAAATTCAAAACCGCACACACTCGAAAAAGTCCTTAAAAAACATTTCTTAAAATTCCGAATTCACTTATCAAAATTCTAAATTCATTTTCAAAATTCTAAATTTAAAAATCAAATACCAAAACTTAAAAATCTTTTTTTTCTAAAATACAAACAGAGTAGAAATAAAACTAATCTATCAAACCATCGAGACGTATTTTAAATTCGAATTACAATTTAAGCGCGCGCGTAGTGAGGTTACCCGTACCGTCCGCACACTATGACGAAATGTTATATCCAACCTTATACTGCATCCATTCATTTGTTCATGGCCTCTGACCAATAATAATAATAATCTCGCTTCGAAACTTAGAATATACTTAAAGCCCATACGTACGTGTATAATGATTTATTTAGTATTGATTGGAAAATAATTTTGCGTGTAAAGTTTTGTCTTCTTTATAGCGAAGTGATAATGATTGCATCATTTCCACGTGGAACCCCTATAATATTGACTATATTTAATTACATTTTTGATTACATATAAGTTGCGGACGTTGACGAAGGAACGACTGGTAGCTTACGGTGCGCGTTCCGATGCTAGATCTGAAAATGCTTAAAATGCTAAATCTGTCCCTACAATATTAATAATAATAATAATTTTTATTTATCAAATAATAAAGTATTACAAATTCGTGATGCTTTAACTACCAAACTAGTATGATGCTGTATCTTGGAGGTCAGATTCTTCCCAATACGCACAATCAAAAGAGATTTTCTATTATAGTACAACTTAAAGTAAGAAATAAAGGTGTTAATAATATAAAAATATGATAGTATAAAAAAGACTCTGTACAACTAAGATTGACCTTTTTTTATAACTTTTTTTATGCGTGAAGTGAAGTGTTTACCGATTGTGTGTGTGTGTGTGTGCATGTGTGTGTGTGTGTATGTGTGTGTGTATGTGTGTGTATGTATATGTGTGTGTGTGTGTGTGTGTGTGTGTGTGTGTGTGTGTGTGTGTGTGTGTGTGTTTGTGTGTGTGTGTGTGTGTGTGGTATATGTCATGTATTTGATAAGGGTAGAGCGCGTTTACCGAATGACTCGTAGAGTCGTATACCAGAACTGTACTGAATGCTCAAGTCAGGATTTGAGCAGACTTGAGTATGATTTCAAGCACTGGAATTACGACCTTAATGGCAAGGACTTGAGTTTGATTTTCAGTGCTCGCTGCAATACTCAAAGTCCTGACTTGAGTATTGAGTAGAGTTTTGGAATACGACCCGTAGAATAGACTCAACATCCTTGTCCAAAACTTTTTCTTTGTCACTCTTACTTTTCTTCTTTCCATCGCCACTCTACTACATTTCCGAAGCGAACACACGTGCTCGCCTTTACATGTTTTTCCATGGTATAGGTCATACTTTCCCAAAGCGGTCCCTACCCCCTGTGGGCGCTGAAGTATCCTTGGGTAGGGGCCTCAAAAACAATTGGGGGGGCGTTGATGCTGTCCAGGGGGAGCAACCGCATTTGAAAAAAAAAACCTGAATTATATATATAAACAATTTTTTTCCTTGTGATCTTTTTATGTTAAGTTAATATGAAAAATACGTGATTTCAATTATTTTGTGTGGTGGTGGGCGTTGAAATTTTTTTATTCATTTATTTATTTATTTCCAAACTTAATCTATTATTACTGGTTATCCGACCAATGCAATAGACCAGCAAAATTACTACATGTAACAGAAGATACAAAAGCGCTATCTTTGTGAATTCAGTCATGACATTTGTCATTCCACGCGCCACTGCCAGCAGCGGTGGACGGCGACGTCACTCACGCTGAATTTTTTTAGCAAGAAACTGATTTTTTATTAGCACACACTCATACTCCCGACACACTCATACACACTCAACATAGCCCCGCACTAGGGAAACCCTGTGTCGCCGTTGCCATGGACACGCAAAAAGACAACCACAAATTATACCCAAACTCACGAGAGCAATAAATGTAGATCATACAAATATTTCTCCCGGACCTCTGCGTGGCAGTCCAGCACGGTAACCGTTTGGCCACCGAGGCAGTTAATAATCTATATAAATAATCTATAATAAAAATAATGTGTATAAACTACCCTACACATATACAGGCTTATTTTTAAAATAGTAACAGTCTCGCAGGATTGTATTACTAACATCATGAACAACAACATTTTGCTCCATGACTTGATTATTTATTTAATTTACTTTCATACAAAAACAAACAGATTTAAAAAGACTCACTCTAAACGGTAATAATGTTCATCTCCAATCTGAACACAAAAATAATTATGTGTTAAAAAAATGAAAGAGTTTAGTTAATGTTTTTGGCATGTAAATTTTCAAATATATTAAAAAATGTAAAAAATATATGTTTTTTTAAATTATTGTTTCTTGTAAGATAGCATAGACACGTACGTGAGAAATCTGTATAAATAAGTTTTCTAATTACCATACAAAATAGGCGCCTTGTCGTCGAGTTGCGGACACCAGCCCGCTACACCAAGTACCAAGTACCATACAATAAGTCATCTACCAAATCAATGACTTTACTCATTGCCTACAATGTTCGTACCTGCACTTATAATCTATGACCGGAGTTCATGCGCGTTTATCGTACTCTATACAGAAATGCATTACTATCTCTACCTTTAATTGTCAACTATTTTTAAAATAAACAGAAATACAAATAAAATATAGCAATATAATATAAATAAAATAAAAATATAATATATAGTTTGCATAATATATTTTTGCATGTGGTATGTGATTCTTTGCGTTTTAATTACTTTAACGTGGTTGTTAATGCATTTTCTAAATACTCAAGACGGCATTTTTTCTTGTAATTTGAATATATAGACGCAATTCTACAGTATTTTATCTATTGTAAGGTCAGTCATTTGACTGAGAATCGAATCTTCACTACACGGACGCCATTAACACATCTGCCTGTTTTGTATATAAGATCGTTGGTAATAACTCTAAGCAAGATGAGGGTGGAAGTCGTCGCGGAGGATGTTTGTACTTTTGAACTTATTATACCAAATACGTATCTAAAATAACTTGAAAGTTTATTTTTGGTAAATTTATTATGTTTTGTAAAAAGTCATGGGACAACAGTTGTTGTTTACGTTGTTGGTAATATAGTCCTGAGAGGTGGTTAATATTTAAAAATAACCCTGCATATTTTTTCCTTGTTATTTTTTGTGTTAAGTTAATATAAAACAACACGATTCAATTTCATTCAATTTTTTATTTTTTTATAGAATTGATATTCAATTATTTTTTATGTGAAATTACTCTACTAGTTTGTTATAATTATTAATACAAAGATCTAACAATCAGAAAAAATTCCTTCGATCCGGCCGGATTCGAACCGATGTCTTCTAGCATACCGTGCCAGACACTATACCAACTAAGCCACGGAATGAACCAGAGGACCTCACGAATTTTTCTATGCGCTTGTTGTCGTGTCTTTGTATTTGGGTTTTCAACGAGTTTTTAGCCGTAGCGCCATCTATGAGAAATCAATGAAAGTATTACAAAGTGTTTTCAATTATTTTTTGTGTAATTTTTTTTATCTTGCCCAGGTGGACAGTGAGCTTAAAAGTTTGAGACGTATGGCCTAAACCCTTGAGAGGAGAAACGTGATACATTACTTATATGGTAAATACAAAGAAATAAAGTAATATTATTTTAAGACGAAGTTTTAACCATTTTCTCCTTGGTAGTATAAAATGAAAATGCATTAATAATTAATTATTGCAAAACGGCCTAATGATTTAATGTAAATGCACAAGCGAAAACACATTCTCTATTGTGAAATTCGTTAGCAAAGTAAAGGGAACTCCAAGGAGAAACAAATAAAGGTAAAAAGCGGCCTAAAATAGTTTAAGATCTGTATTGTAAACTTGTTACGCAAAATTATTATCTAGACAAAAAGTCATAATGTAAATCTTTACTTCATTCTCGACGTGAGTCAATCGCGTCGTAATGGCTGTTCTCGGGGTGCTGTTTTTTTTTTAAATTTGCGCCCAATGTCTTTATTATTCAGAGTTCTTGGTTTTTTTAGATTTTTAATTATATTTGTATTTTGTTAATTTCAAGTAGGTAAATTTAACTGTAATATTTATAGTCGACTGTATCTGAGTCTGTATTGACATATTTGTTATTAATTATTATTAAGCTACTGAACATGGGTTATTGAGCCGGCTCCTTGTAAATGAGTTTGACCAGGGAAGTACTACCACCTTACCTATTTCTACCGCCAAGTAGTAATGCTCACATACTGCGTTCCTATTTTAAAGTGCTGGTGAAATTACAGAACAACCCTTACACTTTCCAGCTCATTCTTCTTGGGGGAATCTGCCTTACGAATGCTCTTAATCAATATAACGATTTCAAGAGATTTCCAGTTTGAGTCTGGACCATGACCCGTTAAAACCGGGAGTTCAGAAGCTCAGCTTGATTTCCATTGCCTCTCCCAACTGGAAACTGCGTCTTCCGAGTCGAGACACATAATTGCGATTCACAACTGGCCGATCGGAACAATAGTGGATTTAACTCGCAAATTAGAAAGATATAGTAGGAATCAGGTTCATCTTCTCGCTCGGAAACTCATCTGATTCCAGACTACCCAATCGATTTAAATGAAAATCTGCTCAATCAGCAAAATCGAGCTCGTGCTTTTTGATAATAGTAGGACTTGTCAACATGTCTCAGGGTTACGGGCGCAGTGGAAGTGCCCCTCAGATCTTTGCGTCTTAAGGCTCTGGGTGACAATGCAACTGCTATTGTCAGGCGTGTCGCTTACCACCAGGCGCACGACTTGTGCCGTCCGTCACTTAGTATCATAAAAACAAAGTCAAATTAAAATAAAGCGGCAATGAACGAAATATTCTTTATTGCACATTAAAAGTTACAATGAACGAACACAGAACAGTAATGTACGTATCACAGACTAAGTTACAACAGGCGGCTTTATTAGTAGCGATTTCTATCAGGAAACCTTAGGATAGAAATTTAAG